GCCAGCTTTGATTAAAAACCCGTGCCACTGAAAATTTGCACTTGGAATATGAAACCACGTGTACATAGAATTCAATCAAGTCTAATTCAAGGTAATACTCCCATTAGCATATCTGCAGTGCTGGGATGTCATTACTATGGCAGAAACACTGACATCACTCTGCTGAGCAGAAATTAAAACTATAAATGTAAACCTTTTCATTATAACCGTACCTGGAAAAAACCTAGTTGAGATACTCACACAGCATGTATTATATTACCCCATCACAGTTGTTATTAAATTCAGACTATTTATAACTTACTGTCACAGTGCCCGCCCCATGGCTTAGGATAATATTTAAATAGTCACCAGATATTTAAAATAAAAGACATTGTCTTAAAAAATACTGTTAATGACGTTTCTCTGATACTTTTCTCATTTTAAAATTGTTCTTAAGGGTAGACAATTCATTGCTATCATGAGGTTAGCTTCCAGGTAAACAGTGAATTTTTATGGGGGTGGAGTGAATGGTCCAGAGCTTTAAGCTAGATTACTAATAGTGGGCAACCTTCTCCAGGCACTTTTCTTGTTCTCTCGAGAATGCTGATTGTGTCAAATTTTGCCTAGGACAGTGGTCACAACATGAGCTGACTGACAGATTTCAAGCAACATGCCTGCTCCTTTGGAATTTGTTGTGCCCTTACTTTCAACAAATGTTTGAAACTATAGCTTTGCAAATAAATTAATGTAAGAATTGAGGTAGTAACATAGTAACTTTAGTTTTTAGACAATTTTAAAAAACCTTACCTCCCCCCCATGGGATTCCACTTATAAACAGTTACAGAGTTAGCAAAATGAATTTATATGTAAATACCCAGTGTTTACCTGGGTACAGAAGGGGGTTTGTTTGGAAAGGGGTGTGAGGAATTTTCTGAGATGGTACAAATTCTCGTCTATCATGATTGAAATGGGGATGACCTGGGTGTATCTGTTTGCAAAATTCATCAAACTCTGCAATTAAAACAGGTACATTTGAATGTTTATTTGTTGTGTGTAATAAACTTGATTTTAAAAACTGCAGTGGGGAAGTCACCTGCTCCTCGGTGAAGGCCTGACCCCCATGCTCCTCTGGGCTTGAGGCTTGACTCCAGCTTACGGCTGAGTTGAAGTTAGCTCTTTCAAGCTGGCTTCCCTGCTAGACTCTAGAGCCTTCTGATGAGCACCTGTGGCCATGTGTGCCTGGCACACAGTGGTTCCTGCTTCTCTGGAACTGCCACAGCATATGCCAGTGCCCCCCATCTCCCTTCAGCGCTGACTGCAGCAGAGGGGAAGACAGAGCAATTCTTCAAACTATTTTTATTGAAGTAACATTGGTTTATAACATTACATAAATTTCGGGTGCAGAATCAGATGGCACATTTGTTTCCACAACTCAGGATGATTCTCTCCCCAGAACTGATGTTCAGGGTGGGAACAGACTGATTCACACAGGTCAGTGGCAGTATTCTAGAGGGAAGGTCCTCAAATTCTGGCTGTTAAGGACTTGGCACAAGTCCTTCCTGTGGTGCTCCATGGCAGGTCATCCACCGCATTCCTGGATCCCACAAACACCCCAGTAGCCACTCACATTCTTCCAACCCTGAAGCAGCTCCGTGGTGCTGAAATCACGTCTTGTTCTCTACTCTCTCGTAATACCTGATTCACCAGGCTGTGGAGGGTTTAAAAAGTATTTGTTAAACCAACAGATGAGGTCTAGGCATCCAAAACAGAGGGCTGCTGAGGTCACGAATGTAGCCTCTGGGTTAGCAGGGAGCTCGGTGAGGCTCAGAGCACACACCCTGCCCCAATGCCCCCGGGTGGGACAGGCCAGGATGATGGTACATCAAGAAAGATGCAAGGGCAGGAGCTCACCCAAGACGTGCGTGATTCGAGTCCATCCACCTTCACCCCTTGCAGCGCAGTCGAGGGGCGCACACACTCCGCAAAGGGAGCCCCTTCGTGCCACACCCCCCAGGCTTCAGAAAGCCAGGGCACTGTGGAATGGCAGCGGTGGCAGATGAGTCTTAACCACTTCGCTCTTCACTGAGCACAGAGCGGGACACAGCCAGCAGCGCCCCAGTATTGCTTCCACCCGGCATTAGACTTGGGTCTACCTCCGGGAAGGTCCTCCTTCGAAAGCGAGAGCAACGATTTCCTGGAAGCCAACTAGCTAAATGACCGACTCATCAACTGCCAAGCTACAGTGCCATGAACTCTGAACATTTTGCTAAAGTCACCAACTTCTTGGGTCTGCAGCAAGTCCCATGGGCTGGAATGACTTCATGGGCTCTCAAAGGTTCATGTGGTGCATTAGCTAACTGGCTTTCACCTGTTTAGAGAAGCATTTGAAGGAATCTTTCTTTTCTCAAAAGCATCTATTTGACTTGTGAGTAGTTAACAAGATGATGTTCTTGAATGGAGATTTTTCTTGGATGAGTTAATACTGTGCTACTGGGTCTGCTTCCCACCACTTTCCACTTTTGTCTCCCTTCTCCCTTTGTCTCCCCCAAACGTCTCCCCCTTCCTCTCTCTCTGTTTCTTCCTTATGCTCATCCACCTTCCTCTCCTTCCTGGGCTCTTCTTCAGCTCCTTCTCACCAAAGCTGTCTTCCCCCACCCACTTCCCCTCATCTCCTCGTATTTCCACCCCTTCTTCTTCCTTTCTCACACCCTCAGTCCTCCATCTTTCCTCTCTCTGCAGCCATCTCTGCTACTAGAGCAGCAAGCTGGGATTAGAGCACACGGAATCTTCCTGGAAATGGCGTAGTGAAGACAGTGGAAATCGGTTACCTGAACTTTACAATTGTAGAAAACCATGCTGGAAAAGTTCATCCAACGTGCACCGGTGTTAACCGTACAAACAGCTGAAGAAGCCAATGTTTAGTAAATTTGAGAATTCAAGCGACTGGCTTTAAATTTGTCTCCTTCAAGCCCATCAAGAGAAACCTGGGGGTGTCTGTGAATCTGCAACTTCTGCACCTAGATCAAAGCCTTGCGGGCAGCCTTCTCCAGGAGGTATTCAATATTTTGGGCAGAAAACTTGCTTTCAACTGGATTTTGTGTTCCACAGGCTGGTAATTCTTTCTCAAGTTGGCAGGGATTGGGTTATCTTTGCACCCTAATCCACTGCCTTCCCTAAATTCAAAAATGAATTCAGTGATTCAGAGGGAAGTGGGAAGTATTCAGGCTGACAGCTTAGGAAGGAAGTGCATTCCAGAATCAATTCTTGGAGCACTCAGCTAAAGCCTTGCCTACTCATAGAAACAGATCTCACTCTCATGAGGTTGTGGTAAAGGTTCAATGCAATAGTTGTACAAAGCAAAGCTCACTGGTGCATGCGCACTGTCTTTGAAAACAACATGTGAATCCCCGCTGAGTACCAGCCATGGTGTAAGCAACATAAACCCATCCACAGTCATCAGGGGCCTTGTTCGTTATGCTCTGACAATTTACAGTGGCCATTTCTTAGTCCTCTCAGCCTCAGATCCAGATTTCTTCTGACCCCGAGTCAGAATTTAGCAGCATTTCTCTTCACTAGCTGCCTCAACTCTTCATCAACACCAACAATGGGCACATAGCCACCTCTGTGTAGGGTGGTCTTCACTGGTGTTCCTTGGTCCTGAGGGACCTCAGGGAGCAAAGTGATCACAGGTCTTCTAAAAATAAAAAAGAACTGTTTCTAACTGGAAAACAGACCAGCTGCAGCTTCTAAAACCAGGATCAAAATTCCTTTAGTTCCCCTCAGTTTTTAACAAGAACATTTGGGGATGCAAAACAGAGCAAGAACGAAGCTTGTTATAAAAAGTAAGTTCTTTTCTAAAAATATTTACACATGTAACAAGGAACGAAGGCGAACTCCTAATCAGATCTGGTCATAGTTCACAGTATACGTCAGTATATCCCCTCAGTCCAAGAAACTCAGAAAGACAGGAATAAATCAATCAAACTTCTGACAGTATAGTTTCAAATATCATTTAGATAAGTAAAAAGACCTCATTTGAACAGATCATGCAAACGAGAACACAGACACAAGAATACGGGCTGACATAGGCATTCCCATTTGCCACAGATACTACACTTAAGCATCAGGTTTTAAACATACAAATCACAAACAAACAGTTTGTTTGTTTGTTTAAACAAAAAAACCAGATCAAAACATAAACACCAAGTAAACTCCAGGTTCTCACACCTTTGCTAGGGTTTACTTAAGAGTTGTGATTATAAAGGAACATGAGACTTCTTGACAAACACAGCAGAACTCACTGATGAAAACGAACACTGATGAAAAAGAACACTGGAGCTTCAAAGTGTCACTGGTGTGGCCAGAGACACCTCTGTGTCAACTGTTCCTGCTCTCAACAGAGCCTCTCGAGAATTTCCACTACTCGGGGAATTGTGTGTATGTGAGAGAGATAAAGTGCGTGTTGGTGAGTGCGCCGTGGGGTGTGCGTGGGTGCCTGTGTGAGCGTGTGCTGAGCAGGACAAACGTGCGCCTGTCAGAGAGCACAGGCTAGAAGAGCTGGGCCCCGGGTCTGCATCCCAGCGGGCACACCACCAGCCTCGTGACCTCGGGTGACTTGCTTCTCCTGCGACTCTCCCTTTGAGAAACACCAGCCTCTTGCTGTGGAGTGTCATGGGGATTTCTTGAGACACACCTGGCACCACCCTCAAGAAATATGGCTTTCTTCTCTCCATTTCGTTTTGTGTTCGTTTGTTTTTAATGTGCAACTATCAACAAATACACCTGCCTTCCTTCTTTCAAGGGTAACAGCCTCTTTTTAACAGTCCAAAGGAACAGGGTTGAAATGATGGACATGCAGGCTGCAAAATTTGCCTCTCTACACTAAGACATGCGTGAGTGGGACTAAGGCAGAAGTTTCAGGCTGGTTCAGACACGAGTGCTGACGAGAGCTGTAAGACTCGAAGTCGGAGAGGGGGGCTGCGAAGCGGCAGTCACAGCAGAATTGCTGCCGGTCTTCTCTCCAGGCAGCCCCGCAAGGTCGCAGCTGTCTGTGCAAGTGAGGCCCCTCAGGGTCATTCTCCAGTAAACTCCACCCACGCGTCCCTTCAGTTGCGGATTAATTTGTAGTGGAAGCTTGAATGACAATGAGTCTGAAGCTTCCACATTTCCTGAGAATCTGGAGCGCTCACCCAGACCTAGTTCCTCTGGATATTCAGCCCTCTGCTCAGACACTCTGCTGACCACTGCCTCCTGCCCGCCAAGGGCACCGAGGACTCCGCCAATTACCCAGCCCCTACACTACTACTCCACAAAGCCCCGCGCCCGGCTCTCCCCCATCTCCTTCATCAACACAGCAAGTGTCACTTCGTCACACCCCCTCAGAGCTTCCTTTAGGAAGGAATGCGCAGAATTTTCTTGAATGTCTTCCTGAAGTTCTCGTTGCACAAGGGGTAGATGAGGGGGTTCAGGGTGGAGTTGATGTAGCCCAGCCAGATGGTGAACATGTGCACGTGCTCGTTGCAGCAGCTCTTGCAGAAGGCGATGACCATGAAGAAGATGAAGTAAGGAATCCAGCAGAGGATGAAGGCCGCCATGATAAACCCCAACTGTTTGGCGGCCTTCCGTTCTCGGTTCAGGTGCAAGCCAGACATGTACTGTCGCGAATGTGAGCGCAGCCTCTTCCAGGTGAACTTGAGGTAATCTAGGCCTGTGCTAGACCCTTTTCTCGGCTTGTCTTTCCCTGGGGCTGGCTCTGTGAGGGTGTCCGAGTCTGTCCTGGAGAAGGACTGGCTGTCACCCAGGGCCTGGTCCTCTGACACATCACTGGCCCTGTGTGTGCTCAGGCCCTGCTCATCCGTCTCGCGCTCCCCCTGACTCTGGTGGGTGGCGTCATACTCCCTGTCCTGGCCCCCCGCCTCCGCCTGCCTCTGCCCCATAGTGAGTGGGAAGCAGTGGCGTCTGCTCACGTCCCCATCCTCATCCTGTCCGACCATGCCAGGGCACTTCGTCTCCTCAGGGTCTTGGGACTCTGGCTTCGAGGCAGGTCTGTTGCTGACATTGTTTGACTTCCTCTTCAGAAGCTCCCAGGGAGACTCCTTCCCCGGTTTCCTGGCGCCCACCTTACAGCTCCCTGACCTCATTTTGATTTCAGAGAAGAAAGGGAGGGACCCACTGACGAGCTCCCGGTGCTGGCAGTGTAGTCGCACGGCCTTGTAGATCCTGGCATAGAACCAGAGCATCAGCAAGGTGGGCAGGTAGAAGTTGATGATTGCAGTCATGACCTTGAACCAGGTCACGTTGTAGAAGTTGGTCTCGCACTTGTCCTCCAGGTGCGTTGAGTTCTGGGACTCAGGAGGCCAGCTCAGAATGGGAATGACCCACAGGAAGGAGAGGAACCAGGCACCCAGGATGGTGGCCGAGGCTTGGGTCTTGGTGCGATACTTCAGGTACCTGAGAGGCTGCTGGACCGAACGGTAGCGATCGATGCACAGGATGAAGACACTGAAAATGGACGCCGTGCTAGCCACATAGTCCATGGAAAGCCAGAAGAGACAGAGTGGCCGGCCCAGGGACCACTTGGACATGAGGAGGTAGAGGATGTTCATGGGCATGACCACGGCCCCGACGATCAGGTCTGCCACCGAGAGGCTGACGATGTACAGGTTCCCCACGGTGTGCAGCTTGCGCTCGCTGCGCACGGCGTACAGCACCAGCAGGTTGAGCCCCACGGTGACCAAGGAGATGGTGCTCAGGACCACCACCAGCGGCATCAGCTGCGGGTTGGCCACGGTGGTCTTGTTCCCCTCACACATCTTGCCTTCGATGCAGGAGGAGTTGAGAAGGTTCATTGGCACAGAGCAGCCTCCAGCTCGAGCTCACTCCCTGCGAGGAAAGAAACAAGGATTACGCGTCAGCAGGGCCTCTCAGCACCTCTACCTCGTGCTGCTGGGGGCAGCACACAATGTGGGTACCTCCTGCTCTGCGGCGCCACAGCCCCACAACCTCAGGCTGCTCAGCAGCGCAACTCTGCGAGCCCGCCTGCCCCCCACCTGGTGCTCAGGGGCCTTTCCCAGGCACCCTCCTGACACACCGGGCATTTCCTCTGTGAGGTCAGCCCCCAAGACTACAGTGTCTGCTGTGTCCGGTCCTTCCTGCCTCCCACACCTGCTACCGACACCCTACAGCTTCGGCTTGGCCCCGGCTGAGCCGAGTCCCCAGATTTGTCCAGTCACCTCGGGGAGGTGGGAAGATAGCAGAGGAAGCCTCATCTGAGGGTCATTTAGTTTTGGCCATCAGGTTGGGAGGCAGGAAGTGGGAGGCAGTTCCGGAAGACTCCCGCACAGCCTGGCCCTCTCCTCCCACTCCTCTGGAAGTTTCTCATTTCTCTTCCTCATTGCCTGGAGGAAGAATCTTTTTGCTTAATTGCACACAGGAGGGAAAAAATCTTCCCGTCCCCCTCCCCTATGGTACATATACTATTTACCAGGCGATAATTATATTTGACAGAAAAAAGAAAAGTTGCTTGGCTGATTGAGATAGCAGAACAAAAAGCCAGTGTCATGTACTGAGCGTCAGGGGAGAAAGCGGCTGACATCTGCAACATGTTCTGAAGTGAGTCAAAAGCAGTTGGCCGGCTGGCTGGTTCCAACGGGTAAGTGAGTCGACACACGAGGAAGCGGAAAGAGCAAAATGTTGGCTTGGAACCAAGGTGGTGGCCCTCTCCTGGCCTTGCTTTTCTACTTGGTTGATACGTTTTATAAGAAAATATTGGGGAAAATTAACACAGCCTAGTTCCTCTTCTCCACCTAACTCCCCCAAAGCTCAATTCTTTATCAGTTTTCCTCGCGGCTTGGGTATGCTGCCTTTCAAAAGGCAAAGGACAACGAACATTTCGTGAGAGGCAGAGGGCCATGAAGTTTCTCAGTTCAGTGCGGATTCATTCAACACGTATTTGCTGTGAAAGTTCTCTTCTTCAGCTCGGTTTCAGGGATAAGAAACCTCACATTCATCCTCTGAAGTCATAATTAGGGTGATTCCTGGAAAGGTGGCTGCCCCCCATTCCATGCCACACAGGGGCCATACTGACCCCCTACTGCATATGCACCCTTGCTGCACAGGGACCCCCTTGGTGGCTAAACCCCCCCTCCATCCAAGACCACTATGGGGAGAGGGTGGTGGCACTGTGGGTGCCTGGGTTGCAGGCCCATCACGCTTCTCCTGGCCCCCCTTCCTCTCACTCAGTCCCCAGACAGGCCCTTCTAGTGACACAACTCTTATGAGGCCTTTCCCCCTTGGGGATCTGCATTTTGAAAGATTTGTGAGCAGTCTCCCCTCTGTGCCAGATGCCAAAGGAACCTCAGGCACCTGGCAGTGCAGGAGGCATCTGGAGACAAGGATCCTCCTCTCCCCTCACCCCACACAGGAGGCCACACTCCCCTCAGGCTGGCCACACCCACCAGGTCCTGATGTGCCCACTCTGGGTTCGAGACCAAGCCTGGGGAGGGAGTGGCAGCTGGAGGCAGCACTGGAGCAGCAGGTGGGTGGACCCAGCAGGGCGCCACCACCCATGTCCTGGGGACACTCTCAAGGGAGAAGCATGCTCTGGAGGCAGGAGCCTGCTTGCCATCTGGGCTCTGCCCTCGCTGGGCTGAGTGGGGCCTGAGTACACAGCTGCTCTCCAGCGTCCTCACCTGCAAAGCAGAGGAGCTACTTCTACCTGCCGGCCTGGCCGAGGGGAGGATGGGGCCAGAAAGTCCTGCAAGGTGATGACTTGGTGACAGGCACAAAGGGGCCCATCTCCCCTAAGGGGCTGATGAGCATGCGAGCCATCCTTTTTGAATTAAGGCAGTGGCTCCATTCCAAAACCATTAACTGCAGTCGGGGCTCTTCCTAGAGTGATCACAGTCTGATCTAATCAGGTCCATGCACCCGCGAATGAGCCAAGACAGCCACAGCCCTGCCACACGCCAGGAAGCTGTGCCAGCACCTGTGACAGCGAGGAGCCCAGGCTGGGCGGCGTCTCGTCTGCCACTTACTAAATGCCACAAGCCCAGAGAGAGGCCTCCTGACAATCCCCAACGTGGAGTTGAGGAAACAACCAGTTCAGGCTCAGAGGGGGGAAGCCACTTACTCAAGGCCACACAGCTAAGACAAGATCCAGACCTGATTTATCTAACTCAGGAATTCTTACTCTCCTTCTTTTGCCACTTGGGAGTTCGAGAATCCTCTGCCACAAGGAGCTGTCCTATGCGGTATTGGCTATTTTGCATTCCTGGCCTCTACCCACTAGATGCCAATGGTGCCCCATCTCACTTCCAGGTATGACCATCAAAAATATCTCCAGCCATGGCCAGATATCCCCTGCGGCCAAAGTTCCTCGGTGGAAAGCACTGGTCTGAGAAGTGCCCGCTCTGAGTGACTCCACTCCCTGCCGCCAGGGAAAGCAGCCTTCAGCAAGGTAAGGCAGGATGGCTAAGAGCAGCTACGCACTGCACTGCTGGGAAGTGCCTGGGTGCTCAGTGAGTGCCATGCCATGGAAGACGTGCACGCAGCGGGCTGGATCTGATTCCAAATAAGGAATAGTCTTGCTTGTCCGGGGCCATGATTTACTAAGTAGCACTGGCAGTGCTGGTGGATAAAGTCACCAATGAGGCCAGCAGGCAGGGCCTCAGCGGAGGGCAGGAGGGAAGTGAGGAGGTGAGGGGAGAAGCTGATGCTGAATGAGGCTCCAGGCCCACACCCCCTCTTACGCTCCCGTTCAGCAGGGCTGGTCCAAGGTGGCCTGGGCCCTTCTGGGCAGCAGCAAAGGCCATTTCTGATGCTAACAAGCTGGCAAGATGCTTCTCTCCACCAGGCCTCGGTGTTCTGCATGGTGGCTAAATCCAGGACAAAGCCCAGGACGGGGCCCGGCTTCTGGAAGTACGTGGTTAATAGCAGGGACAGTTTCCATCCATTTCTCAGTGACACAAAGATCCCACAGCTGGCGAGGAGGAATCACCCTTCACCTCCCACTTTTACATGGCAGAAACTGCTAAGTCTCCCAAAGGTGCGCTCTTGGTCTTCCAGTATTGGCTTCCCTCTATCGAGGAGCAGACTTCTGCCTTTTGGCTGCCTGGGATGGGGTTACACACCCAAGCTCCTGTAGCTGGGGGGCCCTGGGGCTCCATCTCAGGGAAGCGGAAATGTTCAGAAAGCATCCCCGAGGGGAAGGCGTGCGCTATTCTTTGGCCTTCAGTTCTTCTGGGGGGCTCACTGTGGAATGTGCTTCCACAGCCATCTTGGGACACGATGATGACAGCTACAAAGCCTCACGGTGGGAGAAACAGGAGCTGACATTCCCGATGATGGCAGAGCCCTGACACCAGGCAGAAATGCTGGCTCCGGGGCTCTCTGTCACGCACAGCCAGATTCCTCACTGACTGCTGCCCCCAAGGTTGAGGAGCTGGCAGTTAACAAAGGAAGAAACACAAATGGTAAGTAGCAGCGCATACACAAATCAAAGAAAATTAAATTTAAAACTCTAGAACACAACTGGGACAGTACAACCACTGAGGTAAGACCACCCAGGTGGCAGACAGGGGAGGAAGAAGGGGGATGACCCTGAGGCAATGGTGGGAGCCGCGGGGCGCAGGGAGGGGCTGTGCGAGCTGGCCTGGGAAGGATGAAGTTCACCAGAAGGAAGCAGGATGCTAAGGCTGAGGAAAGGAAAGGATGAAAGGGCAAAGCTGGGTACAGGGAACCGGGAGGGGCAGGACAGGACAGATCGAGGCCTCTCTGGAAGCTTCCACACTCGACTAGGCCTGGCCTGCGTTGCTCCCCTGCCCGCATGTCCTTCAGACTGGCAGTTTTCAGTTGCTCCTCTGGTGTGTCCACAGTGTCTGACACTCCCAGCACAGTCATTCACTGTGGCTGATCCTCCCCACTAAATGGGGAGCACTCCAGGGCCTGGGGTGCACCTGCTCCTTCCGTTTCAAAGGGGACAGGACTGGCGAGCGACGAGGGGAAGCCCTTGGTGACGGCGCTCCCACCCTTTTCACTCACTGCCAGTCTCCAGGGCTGGCCCCAGGCTGGCACTGATAAAGTCCACAGAGGCTTACTGGGTGAGCCCTCGAGAAATGGGGCACAGACAGGGCGGGGACAGAAGGCACCAGAGACGCGCCCAGCAGCAGACAAGATTTGCTTTACTTGTGAATAACGATAGTTTTCTACTAACTTTTCCACTTTTCCTTGGCAACTGTTAGAATGTCATTCCTGGTCACCCAAAACATAAAGAAAGACTCCTGTGAGAACATAAAGCAGTTCCCTGCAAACATGATTTATGATAGGAAATAATCTAACATTTGGGAAGTAAAACATCTAATGGGTTAGCTACAGAACAATCATGTGACCATTGATAATCACATTTGCGAAGCTCCAATGATGATATGGAAAAATGTTCCTTGACAAAATTACATTTACAGACATTGTCTGTGCAGGGTGACGTCACTCTATTTATTACCTAACAGGCTGACCGCAAGGGGGATTCTCTGTTACAGTCTATTAACAATGAGTTCCTCTGGGTACTGGTCAGTGTTTCCTAGCTTTGGTATTTCCATCGATCCCATTAATGAGGATGTTTTAGTTTTACAAGAGGGGAAAAATGACTAACTGTACTTATTTTTAAAAGCAAAGCCAAGATTTATTTCACTAAGAAAATGTATAAAATGTTTCCCACATTCTCATCACATCTGTTTTCTTTAGTCCAAAGTTTTAGCATCTGGGATTCCTTCTGAGACATTATAAAATGCCTCCCCCATCCCTCCCCATTCCAAACCACTCTACCTTCCCCTTGTTTGCCTTGGCTGGCTGTTCTGGTGAAATCAGTCTGAACATTCATTTCTGTG